CGCAATCGTATACATCGTCCTGCAATGACCGTGTCGACCTGCCGTGGCTGACGACGCACGGTATCAAATCGAGAATCCGGATACTGCTTGCGATCTCCTCTGTGCAGCCTGTCTCGCCGTTGTCGATGAATAGAATCTTGTGTTTGCGATACTGCTGCAACTGCGGCATGATCCTCGCCGGGTCCGGATTACCCAAGCGCGAAACACATGTAAAGAAGAATGTACTGCCAGACCCGTAAGTCGACTCGACCCACATCTTGCCACGCATAAGAGTCACGAGTCTCCGAGAGATGGACAGACCCAGCCCAGTGCCACCGAACTTACGCGTCGTTGATCCGTCCGCTTGCTGGAAAGTGTCGAAGATCAGGTCCAGCTTGTTGGAGTGAATACCAATGCCTGTGTCGCTGACAGCAAATTTGATGACCACCTCATCCGCGCTGCACTTGCCACTGGCATCCGAGAAAATCTTGACCCGTACCTCGCCATGCTCGGTGAACTTCACAGCATTGCCAGCGAGATTGTTGATGATCTGCCGTAGCCGGAACGAGTCGCCAACAATATAATCAAGCACAGAGCTGTCAACGTCATAGACAAGACTAATGTCCTTCTCGTTCGCCTTCACAGCCAGCGACTTCAGACTGTTGAACACCAATCCTCGTAACGAGAACGGCTCCTCTTCTAGAACCATGCGGTTCGCTTCGATCTTCGAGATATCCAGGATGTCGTCAATAATCGTCAACAAGCTGTTTGCAAGCGAGAATACGATGTTCAGCATATCTCGTTGGTTCTGCTCCAGTTCCGTGTCCAGTGTCAACTGCGTCATTCCTATGATGCCGTTCATTGGCGTGCGAATCTCGTGAGACATGTTCGCCAAGAACTCTGATTTGGTCTTGTTCGCAAGCTCGGCCGCTTCCCTCGCCTGGTTGTTCCGTTGAATTGACTCTCGGAGATGCGAGACCATCTGATTGATCCGGTTCTTGAGTTCGTTCATCTCGCCAGAAGCCTCTACGGTGATCATTTTCGAGAAGTTGCCTTCCATGGCAGCGTTGGAGATGTCGCCAAAAGCACGCACCTGGGACGTCAGATTTTGGGCCATAATGTTGACATCGGTGGTGATCTCTTTCCAACGGCCGGTAATGCCTTCGACTTCGGCTTGTCCACCCATCTTGCCATCAACACCTACGTCCCGCGCGACACGCTTGACTGCGAGAGACCAGGCATCAAGTCTTGTCACCATGTCGTTGATGGTATCTTTCAGCAGCGCTATCTCTCCCTGCGCATGGACGTTGATGCGTTGAGTCATGTCACCGCACGCAATTGCTTGTGTGACGTCTGAGATGCTGCGTACTTGACCCGTCAAGTTGTTGGCCATGGTGTTGACATTGTCGGTCAGATCCTTCCACTTGCCTTCCACGTTCTCCACTTGAGCTTGACCACCTAGCGTGCCTTCCGTGCCGACTTCTCGCGCGACTTTGCTGACTTCGAAGGCGAATGTTCGTAATCGGTCCACCATTTGATTGATAGTGCTCTTCAACGCCAAGATCTCGCCCCTCACCTCCGCTTCGACCTTCTTACTCAGATCACCGTTTGCGACAGCAGTCGTCACTTCTGCAATCTCGCGCACTTGCGTCGTGAGATTGTTGGCCATGCCGTTCACATTCTCAGTCAGGTCTTTCCAAATGCCCTCGACGCCATGCACGGTTGCCTGCCCACCAAGCCGCCCTTCTGTTCCGACCTCGCGCGCGATCTTCGTGACTTCGTGTGCGAATTGCCGAAGTTGATGTACCATGGAGTTGATCGTGTTCTTGAGTTCCATTATTTCGCCTTTGCATTGCGCCTTGACTTGCTGTGTGAGATCGCCTCGTGCCACGGCTTTGGTCACCTCGGCGATATCTCGCACTTGGGCTGTGAGGTTGTTCGCCATGGCGTTGACGTTGACAGTGAGGTCATTCCACATGCCCTGCACACCATCGATCTGCGCCTGGCCACCCAAGACACCTTCTATACCGACATCGCGAGAGACTCGGGTTACTTCAGTGGCGAAAGTTTGGAGTTGCTCTACCATGGTATTTATCGTTTGCTGGAGCTCCAAGATCTCGCCTTTGGCAGGTCGCTCAATCTTGTGGCTAAGATCACCTTGCGCAACTGCGGTGGTGACGACAGCAATCTCTCGGACCTGATCTGTCAGATTTTGCGCCATGACGTTGACTGCGCGAAGTGTCAGCAGGTACATTTACGACACCACAGGTAGACGTACCATTCTGCGTGAGCTCGGCCCAGATACCGTCTACTCCAGGTACCACGGCCTGGCCACCGAGCCGGCCTTCAGTGCCAACATCTTTGGCCAGAT